ATAATAATAATAATAATAATAATAATAATAATAATAATAATAATAATAATAATAATAATAATAATAATAATAATAATAATAATAATAATAATAATAATAATAATAATAATAATAATAATAATAATAATAATAATAACAATAATAATAATAATAATATGCAAAAAAGGAAAAAAGTTAGGGAGGAAATTTTAATAATAATACATGTGAAGGTGATAAAACCAACCTTTTTTTTCACATAATGAGTGTGAAACTTACAAATCGTTATATTTGTGGATTTTCCTTCATTTCATAATGTGTATATTGAGATAATCATGCATTTTTTATTTTTATTTTTTGAGAGAGAGAGAGAGAAAGGAAAAAAACCATTATCTGCGTTGATGATATCCATTTCATTTCCTAGTTGTTTTACAAATAAACGACATGCTAAACTTAGTGGATGAAAGTTAGGAATTTTCAAACTGTCACTCATTGGTTATATTTAATTACCCAGACCTGTTGCTAAATAACCTAAATAACATTAGTGTCTAATGCCAAAAACATCTGTAATAGTTGATTGAAATTCTATTCAAACAAAATATCCTTCTTTTTTATACTTTTTGCAGTAAATCATGAATCAATAATATTATCAAAATTAATTCTTTTCAAGAAGAAAATTATTTTTCTAGAATTCAAGTAATGGCGAATTAAAAGAAGAAGATTTGCGAGGAATTTTCAAAGAATTTGATTTGAATGGTGACGGATATATACAAAAAGATGAATTGAATGCTGTGATGGTGAAAATGGGACAATGTCCAACAGATGATGAGCTGAATGCAATGTTTAATGCCGCGGACAAGGATAAAGATGGCAATATTGATTTGGATGGTATTTTTTCTAACCAATAAAAGTATCTTTTATTAAAAACTATAGTTTAAGATGTATGCAGTTATTCAAGTAAGCATTAAGCGTTAAGTATAATAAATTAATTATGTTTTAGTTAATAATTATTCAAACTCCAAAATCAACATTTTTTTCGTATGCTAGTTTTTGATGAAATGCTATAGATTATAAGGATGAAAATACGGAAATTGTAGAATTTCTATCGATTGCTTATGCAAATCCGCTCTCATTATCCTTGAAAGCTGTTTTCGATGAATTAGATGTGGATGGTGACGGATGTATCACTCGATCTGAGTTGCGAACTGCTTTTCAACGAATGGGAAGTAACCTTACTGATGGTGACATCAAGGCTATTTACAATCAAGTGGATGTTAACAGAGATGGAAAAATTAATTTTGATGGTAATCATTCTTTTTTTCTCCTTAAATTGGACATAGCTGGGATCATTTTGTTGTCCAAATATTAATCTATTAATAAAGAGCTTCAAATTTTTCAGGAATATTCCGCAAAAATTTCACCTTATTATATGATTTATGTTTCAGAATTTTGTCAAATGATGGCCAGAAAGAGAGGATGAATATATCGAGAGCTGTGGATGATGATTGTATATACTCTACTTGCTTACATACATTTTTATGAATTACACCAGACGAATCCCATTAAACCATTTAGATTTATTTTTGTGAATGTAAAGATGACTGCTTGTTTTCATTTTCTCTTTAAAACATTCACTGACTATTTGTTTATTCAATAATGATATACATCCAGTCAGATGGAATGACTGGATTTTCTAAAAGAACTCATGAAAAAATTCCATTCATTTATTACTACACAATTTGAACAATCGTCGTTGCCTGTTTCAAATTCGAAAAATCAAATGAGAATTTAAGGGAAAATTGATGGTTATTGGGAGATTTAACAATCATTTATTATTGCAAGTTGAAGTATTGGTCCTCTTTTGAAATGTTAGCTCCTTCAGTTTTTAAAATAATAAATATCAAAATGATAAACAACGTTATGCTTATTTGCCATCCATTCATTCATCTATTAACAATGTTAACAATTATAAAATAGAGCCAATAAATAGCTCAAATTATTGCTGCCAAAAAATTATGTCAGTACAATCCGTACAGAAAGAAAAAAGAAACATTTCAAACGATTCACTAGAAATAATTAAATTTATGCAAAGTGACATTGAACTTTTTAATTAGTGTCATTACCAAAAAAAAAATTCAACGATTCATGGAAATACTGAATCAGCCATTTCCACAAATTCCAAAAAAAAATTCATTTACTGTTTTTTCTCTTTTGCTTATTGTACACGTCTCCTTCTTTCACCTTTGTCATCAACAGTTCCTGATGCTAAATTGATTAGCCTAAAGATATTAAAACCGATTTCACATTCCCACATTCCAAGGCAGTAGTATTTTTTGTATCCGTAACGACAACAAGAAGTGACAATGCAAAAAAATAAGCAGAAATAGACCAAATACCGGTAACATTTCCAACGGCCAAAATTTTCAGGGCTCGAGTTTTCTTTTTTTCTAAATTTTTTGAGTAAGGAGAAAATGGGAATGTGGGAAATTTCTTAATCCACAAACTGAGAAAGCTTAAATCAACAATTATTTGTTTGAGTTGAAATTCGTCGTTGATAAACTAAACTATTTCTTTTAAACCACGAATTAAGTGTTAATTATCATTGGAAAGCAGGATATTTCAGTCAAGAAGGAAAAATCCTCGTAAATCTATTCGGTAGAAATCAATAAGCATATTTAAAGTCTTTTCATTAAAATAGGTTTGTTTAAATTTTGCCAAACTTTTTCTAATATTTTCCGTAATACAAGTGTGATTATATGCACTAAGGATTTATATAAAAGCATTTTCCAGTTTGTGGAAACTAAAGAAAAATTCCACTCTTCTATTCAGATTCTCAAGACATTTGTAGAAAATTCAGTAAATACCGCATTTACACTCACCAGTTGCCAGCAACTTCCAAAATTTTCTGGTATGGCGCGTAAAGACTGATCGACTCGAAATTTCACTGTTCTACGTTTTTGTTTTTTTCACAACTTCGTCTAAATTAAATTCAATTTACAGTAGGATTCCTGGCTTTACTTTTAGCACCGATCTTTTCAATCTCCCATACACAAAATAATACTTAGACAACTATTCAAACTAGAGCTTACAATTCTACAGTAAATTGGAAGTGAAATTTCGCAATTTCCTTCCCAATTTGAACCAAAAAGTCTCACTAAAAAGCCAGAATTTCATTTCATAACTTTAACTGATTTTTATCAAAAAGTTTGACATTTTTAAAAGCGCTCGATTGATTTCGATAAAATTGCCGAAATCATGCCAAATTAAAATAGAAGTCTTACTGTAGATTAGCCCTTTGTTGCATTTCGGCAAAATTATCTGTTTGAGCTTTACTTAACGTACTATTGCAAATTCATGAAAAGAAAAAAAATTAGGCCATGAAAAAAACACGAGGAATTTCATGTTTTTTCAGTTTTAATAAAACATCGCAATTTAATTTTTTTGATGCATACATCTTAATTTTCGAAATTCTGAGAATTAAATAGAACCAATCATATTGCAAGCTACCGATATCATAACGTCGAAGATTTGTCACCAACATTCCACATATCACATGTGTTCACTGCATGTAAATCCTAAGCCATATTTTGCATAAAACTGAAAATTACGATTGAAAAATAGATAAGCTTACAACATATCAATCCAAATTACATCTTTGAGAACTAACGTAAATGCTGAAGGATGAATTACACTTAATTAATAGATTATTGATAACTGTGATAAAAGTCAGCAATAGACAAAATCATTTATGATTCATCGAATCACAGTATATATATATATATATGTTATATTATATATATATTACTTTTTCTATATATCAGCGCAATTGTGATATCCAGGTAAATCACTGCATTGCAATACATTAACACATTACATTTAGAAGTCTTCAATGAAATTTGAAAGTAAACTGATAATAATTGAATTCTTATGGTCTATTCGAAATTTATGAAAATCCAAAAGTTTAATAGATTCATGAATCGTAAAATTAGTTCCATTGAGGAAAAATGGAGCAACACATTTTATCTTTATTTGAGGGACAAAAATCACTGCCTGTAAAATTTGTTTACTGTTTCAGTTCCAGCTCAATAGTGTTATGAGCAGGAATAGAAACATGAACAAAATGTGGCGAAGTGTCACTTCTCGTTATCTATCTGATTAGAATTAAAAAAAAAAGAAAACATGAATTCTATTGGAATCTGATTTTACTCATGAAGCTTTAGACAAGCGGTCTGAATTCCGTCATACACTTACACTTCAACCATCTTCGATAGCACTACACTGAAAGATCTACCAATTCTTTTTTTGTTTATTAGTGATGATTTCACATCCAATAAATACTAATTTGAAAGCCAATATATAAAATTCGACGATATAAATTGAAGGAAGAAGTAAAAATTGGTCCAATTTTTAAAATTATGAACTTCGAATCATTTAGACTAATATTATTGGCCTAATTACACCCAAAAAGAAACAAGATTGCAACAAAATCTGTTATCTAATTCCTATTTACGAAAAAAATAACTATTAACTTTTGAGGAGGGCGTAAATGACAATTATCATCTTGTTTAGTTCTTGTTGATTATCCTGTGTTTCATTACTCCTTTCATTATTGTCGAGTTGTCTCGGTGAATTTATTTCTACAATAGAATAATATTCCAATATTCTATATTTCCACTGCCCTTTCAAAATATTATCATAGGAATATTTTGTACAACGTGTGTTTTTGTGCTTCGCACAAATGTATAAACAAAGAAGTTTATCAGAAAAAACAGCAAAAATTTTTTGTAATTAGATTAATAGTTGGAAGAAAACGAATTTTATATTAGTTTCAAATTGAAGTAATAGTGGAAACAAAATTTTGGAAATAACATTCTGGAAAGGCAGTCTAAATAGGATTTCTGCAACAGTTTTTGGTGTGATTTAAATTACACACAAAGTGATACTATCCTTACTGCTGGTAATAGTTCTTAAAAATTTCAATCTTTCCTTTTCCAGTGAGGTCATTTGAAACCTTGAATGGATTTTCAAGATTAGTGCTGATGTTTTTTTTTTTTGGCATGTCATACGCCAGTTTAATACCGTCATTGCAATTACAACCTGCAATGATTCGAATTCGAGGAGAAAAAGAGAACATATCGAATTGATTGTTTTAAACAATTAACTGTCCTCACTTTTCACCGCCTTGATTTCCCATTTGATAAATGGATGACATTGTAATGTCCCTCACTTTAAAATGTTTTTGTAATCTTTGGTTGTGCCGATTACTGACTCGACCTATGTGTATTCGTGTTTTTGTACCTTTCCACCTCTTTTTTAAACAACAAAATTTTAACAATTTCCACGTACGGCTTTTGTGACTGTTCAGTTCTTACTGAGCTTTGTGATACAAACAAACTTGGCAAATCCTACTAGAATACATCTAGAACAATGAAATATAATCAAAAAGAGGTTCTAATTTTTTCTGAAAACATTTAAATTTCTCAAGAGTAGCTTTCCAGATAATAATATCGAGGTGCTTGTAAAATCAATAAATAATGGAAATAATTATCCTGTAAATTATGTTGTCATCTCTTTTTAGCACTCATGCGACATATTACAACTTGTCACTTAGAAAGGCAACCTTGATCCAGTAGCCTTATAAATGGTATGATATGATAACGATATTGCAAGCTTTTCTTTAACAGATGCTTATGACGAAGGATGACGGATCAAAATCTATTACAATCTCTGGTATCATCGGTGTAACGCCGATCTATTCGCCATTAATTTTGCACATGAGCATTTCATCGTTTCTTTTCTATCCATTAGCGATATCACTACAGCTTTGAGCAATAATTAATATTAATTGCAGGTTTTTTGCAATGCTATGATAAGTACCAGAAGTAACACAAAAAAAGGTCATTTCTGATTGCAGAAAGACTGGACCAGTAACCTAAAATAAGAGTAAGAGAAAGGTGCATGTCCAGTTTATACTCTGTGGAAACGAGTTACAAGTTGGTATCAGAATGATTGCTTGTCACTCCCAATTCATTTACCTATTCGTACTGTTCTTTCATTTTCTTTACTCCACTTCAAACCTCATTTGCGTTAACTGCAAGTCAATAAAAGTGAAAAAAGAAGGATAGTCATCTCTCTATTCATATTGCAATCGATCATTGCAATGAAAATTGGATATTATCCATATATTTGTTTATTTATTTATTTGAAGACTTATTTACTTATTATATCAAATCAACTCTTCCAGGCTATTTCTTCTTTTCGATTAGATTCCTTCTAGATTATTGTATATTAATTTTTCCAGACAAAAACATAATTTTAACTCTAGTCAAATTCAAATCTGAAAAACTTCACACATTAATTTCCTTGGTAACGTGTAAACAGTAAGATAAGTGGAAACCTAAGTCTTTAAAAATACTCAAATATGAATTACTCTTTCAGATTTCAATCTTTGCTGAATTGACAGGTTTTTGACGAAGTTTAAACTGGATAAAAATTGTATTCGGTTTAAACTCATAAAACGTGTTTCTGAAAAACCCAGAAGACATATACTTCATATATCTTGAAAATTCGAAACTTTCGGAAGAGAACAGGTTTTAGCTGCAAAAGCACGTTTAAAGGAACGTAAAATAGTAAAGGGAAAAATACGTGTTTTCTCGTGTGAGCTGCAGAAACAAGGCAATGGTAGATGACGCAGATGGATTTGCCGAAATCGTGCTTTATCGCTGTCGAACATCAAAATTGTCTGCAGCGCTTCTCGAATATAATAACCACATTTTTAACAAACTCTAATTTTCATTTGTTTGGTATCGTATTTCAGGTTAACTCGCTCTTAGTTCCCAAGTTTGCTTTTGATGATCACATCTTTTTCACGCCTCATTTGCAATTTGACTGATTTTGATGAACAAGATTTATTCTTCTATACCTTCAACTTTCAAATAGAAGGACTCAAGCTTCGAGGTTAGCATTTGTTTTCTTTCCCTTCTTTTTTCCTTTTTTTTTTTGTATAAAGTAAGACTGATTTCTTACCTGGGCAATCATTCACTACTTCATTACAGTTACTTTCCTACAAATTTCGTAATGGTGTTAGTCAGCAACAACATTGTCATCATTATGAGAAATGAAATAGGGAGCGCTATGCT